CACACACGCATACTGATATGTCGTTATACATATATAATATGTATGTACATATGTTCGTGCATTAACATTTTTATGTGCATAAGCATGTGCGTATGTGTGTTGCATGCATTTAAAAATAAGTGTCTCGCCGCAATGCAGCGGCCCGCGAGAGTGCAGCGGCGCGCAGTGTCCCTTTCTCAGTCGTTGCATCTTTTTGCCACAGACATTTTGTTCTGCATCGCTCTGATTGCGTTGCCTTCCCTCCGCACTCGTAGGCAGTGTGCATGGTGCTTATCGCTCGGAGCAATTGAACACCGTTCCACATGCACACACACATACATGCGCCGACGTGCGCTCGCCTTTGCGGGTGCACGTCTCTATGTATGCGGGCGTGCATGGCTGTGTTAGTGTTGATGTGTGTGTATGTGTGTGTGCGTGACTGAAATGTGCTCTTGCCGCTCTAGAATATTTTCTTTTATTCACTCGGCAGTCGGCACACATGTACAATCGTCCATACACTTGTATGTATGTATGTGGTGTGTTCGCTAGTCGGTTTGTCGATGTGTTGTTGTTTTGCTTTCAAATCCAAGAGATAAACAAACTGCCAGTTCACTATCAATCAAACACCGGAAGCAGCTGCTTTAGTTTTATTTTTCCCTCATTGCCTGCTGTCGCGGGCATTGTGGCTGTGTGTGCTGTTGTTGTTGTTATTAATGCTTTTAATTTTATTTGATTTTATTGTTGTTGCCAGAGTTGCTTCTGCTGCTGCTGCTGCTGCCGTGTGCCATCATTTTGCCGCTGTTTGCGTTTTCCGCGGCCGCACGATTTTGTACATACTTACTATATGACATATTATATCTGTGTATGTATGTATGTAAGTATAAATCTATGTATTTAAGTGTGTACTATAAAAGCTCTCAGTGAAAACTCGAACTATTCATTTAAAATATCAGTACTTTACCATGTATTATTTTTATTTTTTGATAGGACAGTCGACGAACCTTGATTGGCGTAGACACCGCTTACGCGATTATAGCCGAGTTAACAACAGCGCGCCAGTCGTTTCTTCTTTTCGCTACGTGGCGCCAATTAGATATTCCAAGTGAAGCCAGGTCCTTCTCCACTTGGCAGTCGACGAACCATTATTTTTTAAATACCAAATTGCAAAAATATTCCGTTCTTTGTATAAAAAAATCGACAGTCGGCGAACTAGTTGGGATTGGAATTGGTACTAGTTGGAAATATAAAATGTCAAATTGACTATAACGCTTCAATTTGAGATTTAAACCGGAAGTAAAAAAAATGTCCTGTAACTTACGGCTTACTTTTTAAGAGACCAAAAATAAGTTTTCTTAATATTTTTAATAGATTTTGACGTATGAACATACGAAGTAGGCAGTGGTCGTAGCGGGAGCTTATAAAACTTTTTCTGGGAGGGATTATAATCAACAATGAGCTGAAAGGACTAAATGATCGTGCCCGACGATCGTGCCCGACGAGAACTGTTAACATCCTTCATTAATTTGTTGAAACTCAGCTGCAATCTCTGCCGAAAATTGTATGTTAAGGGCGTTGAGCCGGAAAACGTGTCATCTACTCCATTTTGTATGGCTGATAGATAAAAATCACTTTAATTGGCATGGCGCCGTTTTCGAAGCTTCTTCTTCGATACTGCTGAGATGAAAAGAGCGAACTTGCTAAAAAACCGATGAGAAAATCCGATCTAACTAAAAAAAGCCAACGGGAGCAGACGCACTAGCTGAAAAACCTAAGAGAGTTCGCTAACCGCTGAGCATAGCTGTGAACTCCAATACCTTTTATGCACCAACTAACAATTTTCTAGCCAATAACAAAAAACAAGTGGGCAATAAAAACGCACGGAGTTTAAATTTTAGTATTTTATGATTTTTTTGTTTATTTATTTCGTATTTAATAATAATAATCATTTCTTCAACTCTATGAGTGCATCATCATTAACATCATCATTCTCGTTAACTTTAGTATGTATGTTTGTTTGTGTGTATGTATATGTATGTATGTGCTCTGTATGCAGTATGAATGTATGTATATATGTATGTATGTATGTTTATGTTGGTATTAATGCGTGTGTGAAGTCGATTTGGTTACTTTCTTACGTTTTGTTTTTTATATATGTATTTATTCCCTTTTGATTGTTTTTAGTGCATACACGCCACATACGATACATACACACACTTATGCATGTACATGTATAGACAGTATGGTAGGTATATTAACACACAGTTGGTTTTTAGTGTTCTTTTATCTTTTGAAATTTACAATCGGTTTGAGTCTATGCTTCTTTCATACATTTATTATTAGTAGTAAAATATGTTACAAATAAAATAAATAATATTCCTCTTCGCGTATTAAAAACAAGATTTAAAACAAATTTAAACAACATTAACCACACCACATACTTGGTGAACACACACACACATTCGTTGCAATCGAAATACGAGCGGCTTAAACTCAATTTTCCATATTTGGATTATTTCGACTTTTTACGTTGGCTCAAATGTGTGTATGTGTGAATGTATATACTTATGCATGTGTGTGTGCGTTTAGGCGCGGAGTTGCCCTGCAAAAGTCGTGCGCAGTCCAAGCGAGTGTCCAGCGCGTGCTGCGTGAGAAGGTGCGCAGCACTCAAAGGATAAAGCGCGCATGTGATGTAGGCATGGTCCGTTTGAAATTTTTTGAGCTCCACAGCATAAAGCATTGCTGCTACATTTCTGGGCTAAATACTACTTAATTGCAAGCGCTTTTCTGCAGCTCGGCTGCATTTCGAAGTTGCGAGTTTGAAGCGCGATTTTTGCCGGCATTCTCTTCGCCTAATTACGCCCACACACAGGTATGGAGTTTGATTTACTTTTTTATGGATTTAGTCGACTTCTATTTATTTTAGTTTTATTGTTGTTGTTTTTACATAATATTAAATTAGTCTCACTTTTACATTAATTACATATACAATTTAATTTTACTGCGCTCAAGTTTAATTTTAATTATATTTGTGTAACAATAATATAGTTTCTCTTTAAATTTAAATAATAGTCATAATAGTAATAATAGTCGTAATTATACATACATTAATTAAATTCCGTAACTAAAATTAATAACTAAGATTAGCTTGGTATTTTGTTTTGCTTTGTGTTTTTTTTTGTTTTTGTTTTTTTTTTTTAACCTTTGTTCACATTACAACTATATTTTCAGTTATCGAATAGTGACATTTATATATACGTGTATGTATATATAGATATTTATAACTGTAAGTATAAATAAAATTTAGTAAATTTAGCTTCGTACCACTACTCACTATGCTCAATATTACACGAAACAATTTACAGTTCTTATCTGTCTTTAATTATCAAAGATAAGTGACGATTTTTGATTGGACTTTAAATTGGCGTTGGTTTCCACAATATAACTGTGTAAATCATAATCATTTCACTACACTTTCTGCGCGGAATACTACAGACATATCTCGGAGTGGATATAAGGAATCATGTATATATTATATATACTTTCTATGTACATATATGTATAAAGTAGTGCTGCATTTGTAGTGTGTTTTATTTAAAACTTTCGCTTGGTAAATAATTTAGAATTTAGGTCGCACATTTTACATATACTAATTTACACTTTTACTTACTTTTTTAAGCAACTATAGGATTTTTTTGTTATTTTTCGTATATAATAAACGATTTTTACTTGCATTGTATAAAAAAAAAATAATTTACCATGTGAGTAGAAAGTTTTCGTATTTAAATCGTTACTTGTTAGTCACTCTCTGCTAATTTGTTTGGTGTTTAAATCTTTTCATGAAAGTGCCGCTATGAAATTACGTTAATTCCGTTTTATTTTATGTCGTACGGTTGGAAATACACATGTGTATGTAAGTATAAGTATGTACATATAGCTGTGTATAATTTTCTATATTTTCTATGGCTCCGACAGCATTTCAGGCAAAATAGCATCAAATCAATTAGCTATGGCTTTGCAATTTTTTATTAACGGCAAAAGTAGTAATAGTTTCAAAAGAATAAGCGTTAGTTGCAAGCGTCCAAAAGATCCCGCTGATTTTGAATACTGTGTGAGGGAAAATGTGCAAATATAAATGACAAGACGAAAAGCATTAATTTTAACAGAAACATATTTGTAAGAAATATTACCTTTTCAATGTTAAAGCTTTATAAGCCAAAGCTTAAATTGAAAAAGGAACTTTAGTTAGAGCTTTTTGTGAGCTTTGTGAGCTTTTTGACAAAATGTTGCAAATTTTTGTGCTTTAAAGGCAAAACCGATATTAAAATGAGGTAAAAACGAATTTGAGCTGTAAAAAGCTTTGTCGCCGATCGGTCATAAACATCAACTTTATTTGAGGCAAACGGCAAGCTACATAATTTTGAAAACTCACATTAACTTGAACATTTTCATTTAGCTTTTTGAAAACTAAAGCTATAGAAAGTGAAAGCATTACAGAAATATAAATATATAGTGATCCAGATCTCAACTGCAACTCTTACAAAAGCAAAGCAGAGTCGCTGATTACCACTCAGCTCATTTTGGTAAGCTTTTTCAGCACCTCTGACCTTTGCAAGTTACTGCAAGCCCTAAACTAGTTGATTTGATGACAGTTGTAATGTCTGCCTTTACTTTTTAGCTGCTTTCCTTTTTTCGTTGTGAGGAGCATAGTTTTACATTTATGCTAAAATTTTTTTCAGATTTTCTTTTTATACGCTACAAAAAGTTTGCCATATAAAATACATTTTACGATTTTTTTTTCAATTTTTTATCTGTACACACACAACCAAATGCCTGCTAGTGTACGTACATATATATTTTATACATAAATGTTTTACTTTACTTTTTGTTTCATGTTTCTGTAATTTCGACTGTAGGAATCAAAGGAATAATGCGAGCGTGGATACTATATAGAACGCTAAAGGCAAGCGGCCGAAACGCACATTTGCGGATATTTTCAATATTGACTACATTGCTTTCGCTGCTTTTCAATTTTATTTATATCTTTTTGCACAAAAAGGAGTGTTAAATTGTGAAATATGAGTGTATTCTGTCGGACTTTTGGAGCGCATCCAGTACTAAAGGTTTTAACTAACACAGACTAACATTTGTTTGGTAGGTTTGCATATTATTGCTCACATTGCTATAAACAGACTTCTACGATTTCGAAAAGAAAAATGAAAAATAATTAAAATAGTTTTGTTTAGCATGTCGCATAAGCTAAGCCCTCTGTGTACCGTTTCAGTGACCAGCGTCTTCAAAAGCGCACCCTAATTTGCCTTAGCTATTCGTTTACCTATCCTCTAAATTATCTCGAGCTTTAAGCTTTTCCATACACATACTCTCGTTTTCCGATTATTTCACTTAGTTTTACACTTTGCTACTCCGTACGAATACCAGCGCCTGGTTTACGATTTCTTATATACAATTGTTTTATTTTTGTTTACTTTTTTAGTTTTCTTTTTACAATGGAATTATGTTATAAAGTATTCAATTAAGTGTGTCAATGTTTGACACCTCGACCTGACTTAGATGGTGAACAAATAAACCGTTAAAGAAAGTAAAAGTAATTAATAAAAAAGTTATAACAAAAATAATTTATTAAAAGTGTTTAGTTTTACAAGTGAATAGTTTGTGAATTTTAGTGGAAATTTATTACATTTTCTCTACTGAAAAACGTTGAAACCAAATTACGATAAAACACGGCACATTTACGATCGACTGTGTTGGGTAAAAAAATTGAAAAATTCAAACTGAAATTAAAATTGCGTTTGCACAATGAAATATTAAATGGTTAAAATTAGAAAGCACGCTTTTTAACTCCCTTTTAATTAACATTTCTAATAATTAATAATTATCTGTTTGCAGTCTTTGGTTATTATTTTTTTTACTCTAAATATATAGTTTATTCATGAATTTCCCATTTTCTTTACTTTCTTACCCATCTATAATGTTATTTTCAACTTCTTTTTCTTTGACCGTTATAGTTCATTTAGTTAATTTCGTTCTGCATTTTTTGTTGTAAGCAGCTTTTTCCCCCTTCTGTTTACTGTCTTCTCTACTCTTCTGTTTCTAGCACTAAGGCACTGCCGCGGCGGGCTCGGCGCTATGTGGCAGCAGTGATTGGTTTACACCCTGTCCGGCGGTCAGCTTAAATTTGGGAGAAGGAGTTAGAAATACAGAAAGATAGAGATTGGAACTCATTGCGCACAATAAATGCAAGTTCTTTTACATTAAAATACTGTTGCTTGATTGTCAGTCAATTAACACTTCTCTACAATCAGGCGATTTTTTGCTCGATAAACTAGACTACTACCACCACCCTTTTACCCCGGTCACATAGTCTCTATTCTCTATGACTGCCTCACGCCACAACCCACCGCCAGCAGTGGTTCTTCTTCAGTTATAAATCTTCTCTGATCCAACTTCTGTACTTCATACACATGTAGTACCCTAGTTAAATGGCGTTTCCGCATACAAATTTCTATACCAGTTTGGCTGTAGATATATAGCCTTTATAGTTTTAGTATTCGCCATTTGAATCGAGCAGTCGTTTCTTAGGCGTTAGATCGCCTTTTCGCATATGATGATTGTGATGGTGATGATGGTTATGATGATGATGTCCATTGGCTGATTTCAATGAATCACTACCACCATTGTTACCGCTTAAAATGCTTGCCGTACCGCTGCTTCCATTTCCGTTAAGGCCCAACTGTGATATCGGTATAATGTTGGTTGGCGAGTCCGTTTGTTGACAGCGGCAACCACGGCCCACAATCCGTCCGTAACATTTCTCACAGAAGGATACGCAGCCGCGCATCGGCCAATACAACCAAAGGCAGGGTAGTACGAGCGATAGTGCGCCCAGCCAACCCCAACGCTGCGTACGTTTGTAGGGTCCGCATGAGCAGGGATTGTCAACGCATGGTGTGCCGGAGCCATCATCGCAGTCCATGTCGTTGTCGCGTGCGCAATGGTAGAATAACGCCTTGGCGCAACACAGACACGACACATAATCGATGACCGATTCGGCACTGCACAGGCAGGTCTTATTGCAGAGCCACGTTTGCGGCAGATGAGGTGGACTTTGGCACTGTTCACAACGGCAATGACCGCATCGTGGGCAAAGCAGCTGATTCAATGAGGATGTATCACCGCTGCTGCCCAGTATGATGGGTGTACCTAGCGGACTGGCGCCGTGTACAGCGGATATCATACCCTGTGGCGTGGAAATGCCCGTCGCTATGTTGTGCATGGTTAACAAGTCATCGAATGCGGGTAGATTTTTAGCAAATTTGCAATTATTGCTGCCGATGTGCGACGTTTGGCTGGTCGTTGAGGCGGGTTGTTTGGTGATTGCCGGAGTAAATGACTGTTGCGCGTTCAGTGAGCTGGTAAAGCTGCCCAAACCGCTGCTACTACTACCGTGCCCATTCGGCGCGACTGGAATCACCTTGCCAGTATGTGGACAGGTTGTTGTCGCTGGAGTGGGCGTAGGCGTTTTGTGATTATGATGCGAATGTAAGAAGCCGTCTGTGCCGTCGATGCCCGCCGTGACGGTCGTCGAAGCCACTGTTCCCGCCGCCAAGCGGTTCGAATGTACCTGGTGCTGATGCTGGTGCTGCAGGTGTTGTTGTTGCTGCTGTTGTTGACGGAATTCTCGCTGTGGCAGCAACAATAGATGATGCGTTGTCGTTTGGCCACCATCATGCTGTCCCGCCGGATGTTGCGCGCGCGAAGCATGTTGCAGCTGCAGTTGATTCGGTAAGCCAGCATTGGGTGCAGCGTTTCGGAACGGAGTATCGACGTACTCGTTGGTGAGCCTCTGGGACTCGGGTCGCGGTTGAGCCAGCGTGACTGAGGAAGCAGCAGCTGGTTCGGTGCTATGGAAATGACTGAGTAAACCAGTGAGACCACCACTTAAGCCACCGTTATTGTTCGATTGGCTACGCGCGTTGTTATTGCTGCTGATACTGCTGTTGCTGTTGTTGTTGTTTGTATTGTTATTTACAAGTAGTCGTGCAGCGGCACCCGGGGTAGGCGGCAATTGTCTGCGGCGTGTAAACGTATTCGCCGCAGTTATGGACGATGATGATGTCGAAGAGGATGTGGTGCTGACGTGGCTGCTATTGCGGCTGAGATTCAGTGTGGTCGGTCGCTGCGGCAGTATCGTCAAATGATGAATCTCGTAGTCCTCGAACTCTGGTTGCATTAATGTTGTAACACCATTAACGGCAACACTTTCATTTCGACTGTTTGTACCAACACCTCGATCTGCCCCCGTAATACTATATTGACTTGAATAAATGTTGCTATTAAAATTATGCTGCTGCGGCTGTTGCTGTTGCTGTTGCTGTTGCTCTGGCTGGTTATTACTAATTGTACATTGCGCTACTTCGGTGCTCGTCGTGTTCGTTGCTGCTGTCGCTGTCGACGTTGTCGTCGACATTTGCCGCTGTTTCTGCTTTTGTTCCTGTTCCCGCTGCTGTTGCTGCTGTTGTTGCTGTTGCTGTTGCCACTCCGTTTGCGTTTGCGATCCGTTTAACATAGTCTCTGGCTCGGGTGCTCGGGGACGATGTACACGTGGTAAGTGCTTTGGGGGCCGAGGTGGCGCCAAAATATCGCCGCCATTTCTACGATCCATGTAGTGTGGCAAACTTTTGCTTGAGAAACCTCAATGCCCTCGGTACGCTAGCCGTGGACCATCAGTTTCCCTCATTCTTTTGCTCGGCTCTTCGGGCAGATCACCGTATACTATCCGTGTCAAACCCTCAGTTTCCGATCCGACGCAAATTTTTATAAATCGCAGTGCGATGAATGTGAAACGATTGGCCTTCTGAAATTAGAAAAAGAAACCGGAAATTATTTAGTTGCACTTTTGTAAGTAAGTAAGTAAATAAAAGTGTGGAAAATACTAAATACGAGTCTTGTCAAAATGTATACTCTAGTGTAGCTCTACATGGCTATGTATATTAGTTTTGTACTAAAATTTATTTATACATATATTAAGATTCTTATTTACGGTATAGCACTTTGCATTAAGCAAAAATATTTTAACACATTCCGATATTAATTTCTTTGTTTTCAAAATTATTATAAATACTCGGTGTGAGGAATTCGCAAAACGATATCCAAAAAATTTTGAGTATTTTTCCGTCTTATTGTTTACATTTTTATAACTACAACACACAGATCCGCAAATTGAGGTATGCATATTAAAAAAAAAAAAACACCCAAATGCCTTGTAGGAAGAGTATGCTTGAACGACTCAAAAAATACAAGAAATATATTATTTTGACCCCATCATCAAACTTTCTTTGCAGCAGGCAACGTTCTACTGAAGAACAGAGTGGCGTTGTTCAAGGTGATTAACTGTAAACAAAAACTGTTTTTCGAAACTATTTAACACAGAATCCACAAAGCATTGATCAGATAGGCGCGAAATCGGCAAGTAGGAACAGAATTTAGAAAATCTGATATATGTACGTGTTTTCTTGAACGCGAGTTCCAAGTAAGATATTTTGCTTCGTAAAGGTAGATAATTATTCCGCTGCAATCCGTGCTGTTCGGGGTTGAGGTCGTCGAAGCTTGCATTTCGTATGTAACTGTAATTTCGTATGTAACTGGAAGCGTCAATAATTGCATGTATCTGTCGTATAATTCCAGCAACCAGCACGCTTGCATATTTATCTATTCGGTGATTTGCATTTTCACCGCATTAGTTATTGATTCCACACATTGCCTGTCGACATAATGAATGAATCTTTGGCGTTTGGCAGCCAGCGCTTGGCCAAATAGCACAAAAAAAAACCGAAGATAGAAAACATAAACAAATATTTAATTTAATCGATGTAAAATTGTTTCCCAACGAAGGCAAATATGAAGCTTTCGTTAAATGCCTGCAATCATTTCTTTCAATGAAAATCTATTGGAACTTGTTTCTGTGAGTTTTTATTATTATTGTTGTGCTACACGAAAATTGTTTTCTGTATTTCTTATTAATGAAATAATGAAAACAGAACGGCCGCACAACACATGTAAACACATTGACACACTCACACACATACACGCGCGCCACTCGTGAACATTAAAGTATCCAAAAATAACCACAAAAAGATAATTTAAAATTTGAAATTAAAAAATTGACGACTGAAAAATAGCCACAATTACGTGAAATGTTTAAAAATACGAAAGCCAATGTTGGGTACAGAAAATTCTGTATTTCTACAAATATATATGGATTTATACTACATTCGATTTGGCAATCATAATGGTGCTTCATTATACGCTGTTATTGTCGTTCCCTCATGTTAGTTGCCAGATCAGATAAGTGCGAGAGGTAAATTTTGACATTAAGGCAACCATGATTTTCATTATTTTTAACCTAAAATTTCTGGGAGAGTCATAAAGTTTAAACATTTTTCTTTTATTTATATTTGCTTATTATTTGTTTAACATTCTGCTACATTAAAAACGACATAACATGAGTGACATACTGTAATGTTACGGCAACAGTCGCTTTTAAAGTTCGTTTACGCTTAACAGTGCCTTAGCATTCGACGCTACTGTAATAAGGTTCCTGTTTTTTGCTGATAGTTGAGAAGGTGTAAGACTTACAATTTTTGAAAACTCCAAACTAACGTTTTGAAAACGTGGTACGATCTCTTTCAGAACTGTCTTTTCCAAACTTTGCATGGCGCGTACATACATGTGTTGTTTGGTACATCTCAGCCATTGAGCATCGTTAGCGCAGCACACATTAGAGTACCCACATGCTGTTGGTCGCCTGCTGTGCTCTGCTGCGTTGCTATTTCTCCCGCGCAAAACCGGATATGACGTCAATTAGGGGGCGTTGGTTACGTTTTCAATTAATTTTTCATCTTCATTAATTTGTTTTGGCTTAAAATTCCGCTTGCTTGCTTTTTTTTTTTATAAATTTGACATAGTGAGATTTGCTCTGTGCTTGTTCATTTTGAATAACACCGTGAGATTTATTCAAGTTGCTTCAGAATCAGCATAGTATTATGGCATCACTGCGATATCCAAAGGCAAGCGAAGCATAAGTGGAATTTTTAATAAACTTATTATAAAATTATAAATTAATTTCGTGAAAATATAGAAATATTAGAAAAGTTGTTAAGGCAATAAGAAATGAAATTGTGATTTAGAGAACCATTGAAATTCGCCTTATAGAGAAGACTAATGCCGTCATTTTATTTAGTTTGGTCATGCATTTAAAATTACAATGGTTCTGATCATCTAAAAGGATTGAAATTAAATCGAAATACTCTTAAGTCAGCGCAAACACATACATACATATATATATTAGTAGTATGTGTGTATGTATTGCATCTAAGGTTGTTCATATCAAAGTCACAGGCTTAGCTTAGCATTAAACCCAATAAACTCACGCCTGAATACGGCAACACATATACATACATATATGCCTATACATACATACACACATAGATGTATGTTTGTGCATGGTGTAAATGATTATGGGCTCGGAAAAAATACCCATGCGTTCGCATTTCACTGAACTTTTTTCGACGTTGCTATTATCAGACGAGAGCGGAAATATAATCAGCAGGCGACATTTAAAGCAAAAAAAAAAAAACGAATAACTGTAATTGCCTACGAAACGAAAAGCATACATATGTACACACAGTTATATATATGAATGACTTTGATATTTGAAGCGAAATAAGGCTTTTCACAAAAACAAAAAAAACATTTTTAACAGACTTTTTAAAGGCATACCTATGTACATACATGCATACATACATAAATATATAGAGACATATGCATGTTGAACCGCTGACCGAACTCGCGTTATTGATGTAATCGGTTTGTATTCGATAACGCTTGCCGTGGACTTTGTACTTGCATTTTATTACATATTAAACATTACGTTAATTAACCGCTATGAATTTCTGAAAATATGCATTTATGAGATTTTATGAATTTATTTGTCTTTTACAAAACATCTTCCGCTCATCAACTGAAGTTGTGCTCATCTCCTTTCCGGCGAGCCAGCTGCTCCGACTCTTCCACGCATCTACCTGTGATTGAAGCAGCTCCCAGGCAACAACTTCAACAAACAAGGTCGGCAGCTGCCACCAGCGGATGCCAATTGTGCGTAAGTGCTGCTGCTGCTGCCTTCATTACATACACATACACACACGCATGCATGTTGCATACTTAGGCTTCTTTCTTAGTATTAAGTGGTTGAGTGTATGATGCTGCACTTGCACCACATTAAAGAACACAGCAGGCGACTAAGAGTTAGAAGTGGCTATTAGAAGTCGCACAGTGTCATCAGCTTGTTCAAAATGTGCTCGAAACATTACGGATGCGAGGAAATTAAGAATGACAGCACACAGCCGCGACATACGGCAATGTATGTTGCAAAGCAACATACAAACATGCCGTGATAAGGTAGAGTGCGTCTGCTGGCTGCCACGATTGACTAATTGATGGAACAAACCCGTTTCCTGCTGGTCATATACCGAAGATTGTGACAAAGCCAAAACGTTCGCATACACAAATACATATGTACATACATATGCCTTATGTAAAACATTTACACATACCTTCACATATGTATGTACATACATATAGTACATATGTATATGTATATTCGCAGACATGCTTGGAGCTCATTCATTTTTTTTTTTTTTTTTGTATTGAAAGGTGTATGTAAGAACTACACTGGGCGAAGAACATTGGTGTGTTTTATTTGTAAATAGCTGTGCTGTGCTCTTTACAAGCTATGGATCACAACAGTAGTAATCAACGAAGCGATATCAGAGCTGCAACACTCGCTGGCATTTGTGGTGGTGATCGTACGACTTAACGCAATCACTACGAATGCTTTGTAAACAACAACAGGAAAAAGATCCAACAACGACAAAACGGAGACGATTACTTACTATAAGCATGTCTCCCTGCAAGTTTAAAGAAAGCCACAGCTCTGAAAAAAGCAGAAAACCTTAACAAAGGGCGATGATCACCTTTATGGTTATGGTGAAGACATTGATGCATTTACGGTTTTTTTTTATTAATAAGAAAAGGTGGATCCAGAAAATCAGCTCAGATGGCAGAAAAATGTTTAGGCTCTGAAAAATGTGCTTCTAGCAGCTACTCAAATATTCGGCGTCTAATTTTAAATTGTATAAAATGTAGAATCTATTTCCGATCGAACTTTTGAAAATTGTAATTAATTAGAGTGCTTGCTTCATGTCTTTCACACCAACGCCACTTGCCGCATTGCTGAGGAATTGAGGTATGTGCCAGTACGTATTTGGATTATTTAGATGAATGAATGGAATGCCGTTGAAAGAATTGTAATAAATATAAATATGGTGTATGTATGTATATAAACGATTAGTTGAGCATGTTATGTATGTAGCTTTACATGTTTATATTTACATACATATATGTTGGGGGATTGGGAATATTACAATGAAAAAGCGCACATGCCGTGAAAATGAAGATATTTCGGAGCCTCTTACGCACACGCAGTCATAAATTCATTATGAACACACACATACAGATACGACGCGTACACGATTACAGCCGAAAGTGATAGACGGCGGTGGTGCGCTGTGTACCTGCTAATGCCAGTCGAAATTGGCATTCTATAGATATAATCGTTTATATGTATATACACATTATGTATATATATATATCGATTTTGTGTATATACTATGTGCATACAGATTTGTTTTTGAGCAACAACTGCCCACGCACACAGCCACCCTTGCACAACACGCCCCCAAAACGCTGCAGATGCCGACAATGCTCAGCGCTGCGACACACGAATTTCATTCATTC